GGGAAATGGAAGGAGAACTCCTGGTGGGCTCACCAAGCACAGAATCAGTCCCTAGGGCTGTTCTTCTGTTCTGCTCTTAGTCTTAAGACAGCAAGGGGAGGGGCCATCTTAACAAGAGTTTAACCTAAATTTCCAATATAGTCCATGAAAAGAAGACAGAGTTTTATTGTACAGTATCAAGATAAATGTCTATAAATAGGCAAAACCTCAGTCATAAAATCTCATATTAAAATGTCACATTTTAAAAATGATAGAAACAATGCACCTTAAATGTGTCATTTACATTTTGTCAATTTCAAATGTTTGTTTTTTTTATCCACTCCTTTGTGCTCAAACACTGCAAAATCGGAGAAATCTGTGCCTTTTGGTGTAGAAAGATGCCCCCCCCTTTTTCATAGATTTATCAAGTTGAAGAAAAAAACTACAGATTTCTTAGAAATGTTTTTTTCCCAAAACAGATTAGCCCTGGTTGGTGTTGTTCAGTGGATTGAGTACCAGCCTGTGAACCAAAGGGTTCTCTGTCGAATTCCCAGTCAGGGCACATGTCTGGGTTGCAGGCCAGGTCCCCAGTAGGTGGTGCACAACAGGCAATCACACACTGATGCTTCTTTCCCTCTCTCTCTCCCTTCCCCTCTCCTTAAAAATAAATAAAGTTATCTTTTAAAAAGATGAATAATTTCACTGAGATTTTTAAAAAATAAAAATAGTATTAATGAGTACCCACTCTGTGCCAAAAATAAGTTCCAGAGGGACATAGTACTTCAGTAATAATATTTCTAGCTATTTCACTAAAACACATTTTTCATTCTCTTGGGGAAAATCAAAAGGCATAAAATTTTAACACGATCATTCAAATTCAGTTGTAATGTTTTTAACTTTACAAGAATTTTTAAATGTGCCCATGTGGGATATTTCAGATTTTAGTATGTGCCAGTTCAAATTTAAATATAGCTGTGATTTAAACCACTGAATAAGATTTCAATATCAGGTATATTAAAATTTAGTCAACAGTCAAAGCACTGTTTACAATGAATTATTTTATTTCAAGTGCCAACTTATTGAATCATGCATTATAAGTCCAAATTGTTCAGAGATATTTCCGTAATGAGCAAATTGCCAAATGGTATCAGTAAAGTTGTTTGACTGATTGAGACCAATGGTGATTTTTCAAGTGATCCTCCTAGCTTCTTACCATTTTGTCAAGACATATCCTTGGTCTCAAGGGGACCTGAGTTTCACCGTGTGGATAGATCAACAGAAATTCAACAATACTACTGGGAAAACATCCTAACATTGATAATGACTATAAGGAAAACAATGGAAATCTCACTTTGAAGTACTGTTTAAATATCAGTAACATGTTTTTCTCTGTGTGAATGATAGTCAAAAAATAACTGTTTCTGAGTAACTCTATTATTGAAGTTGTTGGTAAATTTTGGTGCAGGCAACCTCTTGCTAGGATGAGCAAGTGAAAAGTATCATCTATAGGTGAAGCTGTATCTAGCTCCATCTATTCCTCCCAACAAGTAAATCAAGATGGAAAGGAATTGAGGTGGGTGAATTAGAAGGAATTAAGTCATTTATTCCTTTAGAGAGGAAAAAAGAAAAGGGTGTAGGAGAGAATGAGAAAATTACTATATTCATCTGAAACATCTTGGTAAAACTTTTTCCCTCTTCTTTGTATTTGTCTAGCTAATAGAACAATAAAAAAAAGAAGAAGAAAGAAAAGGGGTAGGGAAGGTGAGAGGAGAGGAAGAACAAGAAAGGGAGAAATAAATGCAAGGAAAGTCAATAGAGAGTAGATGCTGTGTCATTCTCTCTCTTCCCTGAATTGCACCCCCCCCCCAGGGAGTCCTCCTCTGGCAGCTGATGGAAAGAGACTGAGAAAGAAGTTGTGGTCCTGTTGTGAATGAAGAAGCTGTGAGGACTTTAAATCAAAGCAAAGTCACAGAGCAGTAAAATCAGGTGGAACTCAGGGAGTTCAGCGCCACAGCAAGCAGATGAGAAAAAGGAGCCAAAGGTTTGCCTTTCCAAAGGTGTAAAAGTTAAGAGAGAGGAAGACCAGGCATTATACTTATCAAATGGTGGACAAAGGAAATATTTCAACTTAGGCTGGCTAACTTTGCAAGCTGCAATTAAATAGCCTTTTAAAATACTGTACCTTTTATAATACAAGTTTAATAAATAGATGCATGTTTGATGATTATAGTGTAGAAAATGCACAGTCATTCATCCTTGGGAGAGAATTTAGGCAGAAAATACCATCCAAGCTTCAACAGCTGTCATAACAGCCACAGTAAAATATGAAGAAGGCATTGGCACTCAGTTGGCATTCAATAAATATTTGTTGAAAGGATCAGAATGACTTCTGGTCAAGGTGGAGGCATAGGTAGACACCCTTTACCTGCTCACACAACCATATAAACAATTACAACCACATCTCAAAAACAAGTAACACCCAAAAATGTCAGAACATCGAGCTGTATGGAAGCCCAATAACCAAGGATTTGAAGAAGACACATGCATCCAGATGGTAGGAGTGGAGAAGTTGCGAAGCTGGGGCGAAGAAGATGTGGTGTGATGCAGAGAGGTGGCGGCAGCAGTGAAATGGACAGTCCCACATTCCCATGTAGTAGATAAAAATTTGGAGGGTTACCTTGGGAGTGAGTGATCCCAGTCCCAGGCCAGATGGCACAGCCCAGGGTTCCAGGGCCAGGAAGGGAAAGCCTCACAACTTCTGGCTGTAAAAACTACTGGGGGTTGGGGTGGCAAAAGAAACTGAAGGATTTTTCACTTCTTAAAGGGCCCACATAGGCTTAAAACATACACAAACCCCGCAGCAGCAGCTGGAAGGGCACCAATCACATATGGGAGGTGGGTAAGGTGACTAGAAGTCAGGCAAGTGTCTGGCAGGCCTCCAGAGGCCAGGCAGTGGCATTGTCCCCTCTCTAAACCCTCCCCCATAGAGAGCCACAAAGCAGTGAAGTGGATTGCCTGCCCCTGGCAATTATCTAAGACTGGACCCCATACAACTTACAGGTGCATTTTCTATAATATATCATGTTACTAAGACAGGGAGTAAAAGCAGCTTTACCTAGAATACAATAGAAACAAACACAGGGGAGCCGCCAAATTGAAGAGACAAAGAAATACGGCCCAAATGAAGGAACAGAACAAAACTCCAGAAAAAGAACTAAACAAAATGGAGATAACCAACCTATCAATGTAGGGTTTAAAACACTGCTGATCAGGATGCTCAGAGAACTCATTGAGAACAGCAACAATGTAAAGGAAGAAATGAAGTTTACACTAAGTGAAATAAAGAAAAATCTATAGGGACTGAAGGGGATGAAGCTGTTATTCGAATCAATGATTTGGAACAAAAGGAAGAAATAAACATTCAGCCAAAACAGAAAGAAGAAACAAGAATTGAAAAAAATGAGGAGAGGCTTAGGAACCTCTGGGACAACTTTAAATATACCAACATCTGAATCATAGGTTCCAGGCAAAGAGGAAAAGCAAGATATTGAAAAAATTATTTGAAAAAATAATGAAAGAAAACTTCCTTAATCTGGTGAAGGAAATAGATATACAAGCCCAGAAAGCTCAGAGAATTACAAACAATTTGGGCCCAAAGAGGACCATGTGAAGACACATCACAATTAAAATGCCAAACCTTAGAGATAAAGAGAGAATTTTAAAAGCAGCAAGAGAAAAAGCAGAGAGTTACCTACAAAGGAGTTCCCATATAACTGTCAGCTGATTTCTCAAAAGAGAACTTGCAGGCAAGAAGGGGCTGGAAAGAAGTATTCCAAGTCATGAAAGGCAAGAACCTACAACCTAGATTTCTCTATCCAGCAAAACTTTCATTTAGAATGGAAGGGCAGATAAAGCAATTCCCAAAGTAAAGCCAGACAAGTTCATCATCACTAATCCATTATTACATGAAATGTTAAAGGGACTTATTTAACAAAAAGAAGATGATTAAAACTATGAACGTTAAAATGACAACAACTAGCAATAGCTGAATCTAAAAAACAAGAAAAGAAAACTAAGAAAACAACTAGAACAGGAATAAAATCATAGGTATGGAGATCACATGGAGGGTTATCAGTGGGGATGGGGAGGGAGAAGAATGGGAGAAATAGTACAGGGAATGAAAAACATAATTGGTAGATACAAAATAGACAGGGAGTGTTAAAAATAGTAAAGTAAATGAAGAAGCCAAAGAACTTATATGCATGACTCAGGGATGTGAACTAAGGGTGGGAAATGCTGGTGGGAGTGTGGGTACAGGACAGAGGGGGGCATGGGGGAAAATTGGGACAACTGTAATAGCATAATGAATATACTAAAAAAGCATCTAGCACTTGTCTTGCACACAGTAGGTGCTCAATAATTGCCCTCTTTGGAATTAAATAAATCTGGGGTCATGTCACTTTCTCTTCCTGAGCCTCAGCTTACCCATCTGAAAAATGGGCTCACCATGGGCACTTGGCAGGTGCAGCATACAGCATCCAGCACCCAGCAAAGTGGACAATGTAGTGGGTAGGATGGCAAGTGTTGGGCCAAAGTGTTCTTACCTCGGTGGGGAGGCATTGGCTTTGCTCCCTGGCAGATCAACAGGCAAGCCTGCCCTTCAGATTGTGACCCCCTCCCCCACCTATGACATCACCACCGGGGTTGCCAATAGTAACCGTGAGGGGTCTGTGAGGTCACCCCATTCTATTCCACAGAGACTCTCATTGAGCGACAGCCGCTGGCTCCTCTCTGTCCCAGGGAAGCTCCTGAGACCCAGAGAAGCTCCTGAGACCCAGAGACTTGAGAGCCGTGGTCACAACAAAGCTCCTGAGAGGGACGCGGAACGTTGGGAACCAAGGACACTGCAAGTACTGACTGTGGGAGGCCAGAACCAGGGGCAAAAGTTTTGTGGGCATTAGGAGGGTCATTCAGCAGTTCCTGGAGACCTAGTTTGGGCACTGTCACTGTGGACAGCCACCATGATCCTCCGCTGGCTGCTGTTTCTGGTGATGGCTGTGCCTTCTGGCACAACAGGCATCAAAACCTGCATGTTCTGTGAGCTGACCGACTCCCAGAAGTGCCCCGGCATGCTCATGACCTGTGGCGATGACGAGGACTGCTTCACCGGCAAGGGGACAGCCCCCGGAGTCGGCTCCATCACCAACAAAGGCTGCACAAGATCCAGTTCTTGTGGCCGTGAGGAGCCTGTCACCTACCAGGGCGTCACCTACAGCCTCATCTCCACCTGCTGCTATGGACACCTGTGTAACAGGGCTCCGGACCCTGAAGGCAAGTGGATGGTGGGGACCCCTACCGGCCTGGCGCTGAGCGTGCTGCTGCTCCATTGGCTCTGACCAGCATGGAGGGCAGGGCCTAGGACTGGTCTCAAGTCTTCAGTACCCCTTTTGCCCCCTGCCTCCTCCCCCCTCCCCCTTCCCCCATTAAATGGCTAGAGGTCTTAGACAACTGCTTGTGGCTCTGGCTTCATTCATTGCAGGGCTTAGGGGTACCCTGTGGGTTTCACTGTGCCACTGTATTTCATTGGTCCTAAGACTGTATCTTTTCACATTTTGATCAGGACACTTCCTTTTATTGGTGTTACCTTAGAATTGATGAAATATGGTAAAAAAATAATAAAAATTAATAAATGTCAGCTGATATTTATGAAAAAGGAAGGATCAAATACCATATGATCTCACCCATAATGGAATCTAATCAACAAAACAAACAAATGAGCAAAACAGAGCCAGAGACTTGAAAATAAAGAACAAACTGACAGTGACTGGGGGTGGGGATGGGGACAGGAGAGAGAAGGGGAAGGGGCAAGCAAAGGAACACCAGGACTCATGGGCATGAATAATGGGGTGTTGGCTGTGGGAGTGGGGGGAATGGGGTGAGCAATGGGGAAAAAGGCAGAACTGTAACTGAGCAATAAATAAAATAAAATATTAATAAAATAAAATGATAAAATGAAACAATGAGTGAACTGTTGAAAGGTAAAGTGAGGCAATATTAAAAGGTTTAAGAGTTTGAGCAAAAATCAGTTTGAATTGGGTAGATCCAGTCTAGCACAAAGAAAAGGGCTCCAAGGAGCTGTCCAAAATAAAATAGTTCTGTAGGCAGAAGGAAGCAGGAAAAAAGATGTTATACCAGGCAGAAAAGCAGGTTGGTTTCTGCAAGGTCACTTTCCTTTAGGGAATGACAGGGGCCTATCAGGCAGATGACCTAACTAGTGCCCACAAGGTGACTCCTGACTGACTGGTGTAAGATTCCATTTCTGGGAGAGCTGAAACTGTAATTAAGTCTTAGTTTGGTGACATGGGGCTTAGCATAAGCAACTCCATTTTGGGTCTATTGTATTAACCATAAATGGATGAATGAATGATAAATGAATGCAAGCAAGTTGATCATGAAATCCTGAAAATTTCAGGAAACTGTGTTTAGATTGAAAAAGTAACTCTGGATAACAGAAAACCAAAGCTACAAATGCCTCCTCCTGTGGAGAGCATCACTCAGCTTTTATTGACACAGTGTATGTATATTTATGTTGAACTAAACACATGGACTTGACAGTGTTTTCTCCTCACCACTGTGTTTCTTCAGAAACCTGCTAAATGAGAACTAAATGCCCAAATGTATGCACTGTGGCATTTCTGATGCTGAATGAAGATGAACAACCTGTATGGCATAATATAATAGGCATTTCTTCCTCCCCAATAAAACTTTTCCAGAATGTAAAACTTGTATCCCATTTGCAGTGCTTGAGACAGAGTAATTTGCCCTGCATTAAACATGCTTTGCAGTTAATCCTCTCAAAAGTGTGTTCATAAGCCAACCAAAGAGCTCTGTGCATTAAGAGATTTGGTCATGACCATGTTTTAATGACCATCAGATCACCAGGCAGTGGAGTTCTTTTACTTGCAATTTTCCCCTGATAGGACCTGTTTTAAATATGCAGGCACTGGGAAATGACTGGGAAGCTAAGCCAAGGGGACCAAGTGTGAATTATAAGCACATCGGAGCCTTGGAAATGGGCAAGCCTGCTTTTTAAGTAGAAATGTCCCTTAGCAGAGGCCATCTGTCTCATATTCCATATTGAGTATTTCACCTGTTCTTTTAAGTAACAAAATGTGGCACAGCAGGAACTTAACCACTCGAAGGACATATCTTCAAGAACAAAGTAATGGCTCCATTTAAAAGGCACTCAAAATATTGGCTATGAGTCTGGGGAACAAGCAAGTCTGGCCTTCCCATACCCTTCCAACCTCACTTACCACTTCGCTCACCACTCATGCCCCCACCACTACAAAATATACAGTCTCACCTTGGTCTTCTGTGGCATTATTTTCTGATTTTCATTTAGTTTTGCTCAAAGCGTCAACATGACTTCCAGATTTGACTCTAATACCTTCATTTTCAGGCAATGTAATCGTGCAAGAAATAACCTGAACCTCTCCAGGACTCAGTTTCTTCATCTGTACAATGGGATAAGACTAGTACCTTACGCATGGGGCAGATGTGAGACATGGGATAATGCATGCAAACTGTTTAGCAGAGTGGTGTGTAATGCATACTCACTGGATGTTCACAAATAAGAATAACAGCTCTCTAATACTATTATAGCTATCCTACGCAGTTGTTGAACCATAAAGCTAGTAGGGGTTTTAAGAGCATTAAAAATCATAGCTCCCCATTAAAATCCATTGTTATCATTGCTTTGTTTGAGTTTCAGCACTGATTCTTCAGCTCCCACCCTAAGAGATTGTGAAGGAATTAATTTTGGTGGGGCCTGAGCAGTGGGGTTCCAAAGTGCTCCTTTAAACTCTTCTAGGGATCTAAAGTGCTGCCAGGGTTGAAAGCTACAACCCTCCTCATTTTACAGATGATGAGGCTGAGTCCCCAAAACCTGGATTGACCTCCTCCAGGTCACATGCCTGTTTGGTATGATCAAAGAAATACCAGAGCTAGACAGTAGTTAAAGCAGTAAAAATGGATTCTATTCAGCATTGCTGTGGTTACCGAGGGGTAAGAGACCTCAGTAAAGAGCAGGGCTCAATTCTGAATACAGCATGGCCAAGTGGAAATTTATGGACAAGGAGCAAGGAGAGGGGCAGTGAATAAAAAATGACAAAGAGGAAACAACAGGGGTAAGGAGGAGCCTTTCTAAATTCACCTAGCAGGGTTCTTTGCTAAAGACAGGCTATGGTGATCAGATTTCACCTGGGAATGGTGGAGGATGAGGAACCTGATTTAATATTGAGGGCGTTAGACAGGAAGCATGGGGGACTCTTGCTAAACTGACTTAGAAACCTTTCTCGCTAAAACTGGATTTTACAAACAAGTGCCCAGATGGGCTTAAGAGAAGGTTCAGGAGCCTGACTTAAGTTTGGTCAAGCAGACTCTTCATCAGCATATTTAAGCCTCAACCCCAATATTGGTATGTGTGTCCCCTGCTCATAACCCTAAAGTGTATACTCAATAAAGTTCTACCTGAGAAGACATTACTTATCTTCTAAAGAATGTATTTCTCACCCTGGCTGGTGTGGATCAGTGGATTGAGTGCCGGCCTCTGAACCAAAATGTAGTTGATTCAATTCCCAGTCAGGGCACATGCCTGGGTTGAGGGCCAGGTCCCCATTTAGGGGCATGCAAGAAGCAACTGATTGATATATCTTCTTGCACATCTATGTTTTCCTCCCTCTCTTTCTCTTTCCCTTCCCCTCTCTCTAAAAAATTTTTTAAAAATGTATTTCTCACCTACAATGAGGCTTTAGAAAAAGAAGAAAGATGCCTAGTCCTTAGCTCATAAGTAGCCCCCAAGAAGCATCAGTTTGGGGAACCTAAGAATTTAAGGGTCCAGGACCCAAAGATGATTGCTGGGTCCTGGCTAGTGAACCACAAGTTATTCAGATGTTGTCACCAGAGGCATGTGTGACTGAAGGCTTCCCCATCTGCTGTTCAACGTAATAGCAGTCATGAAATACACAAACCTACTAGAACCTATTCAATATCCAGGCTGTGGTTTTGCCTGCTTCTGTTTTTCTTTATTTTGGATCATGGATGTCTAAGTATAAAATCTAAAGCCTTAAACAATATAAATTCTGTTATGCAGTGGCCTTACTCCATTCCAGGGCTTTTCCTGCCTCCCGGCCTTTGATTACGCTGTGCCACCCTCCAGCAGTGCCCTCCCTTCTCCTCCTTTCTCTCTACATACAATTCTACCTGTTTACCAAGGTCTAATTTTGTCTTAATTAGCTGTATACCTTGAAATTTTTTACTTGCCTATGAACTATCACACCAAGTCAATATCACACAGTACAATATTTAATCCAATTTAGAAACTCAATTATGACTCCTCAAGGTAGGGAATTGTGGGAACATTTTTCTGTATATAATAAACACTAGAATGTAGCTGAACACACACCAGATTTTTTGATAAACAACTCTGGTTTGGTTTAATTTGGGTCTATTTCTTCTTAAAAGAGAAGCAATGAGTAGGTTAATGAAGGAAAAATAGTATGGATAAGCTAGGAATTAAAAACTTCATGGGCACATCAACATTGTAAGAATAGATTGAGGAGAAAGTAATAACAACAAGGAGAAAACAAGCATGTAAAGAATCAAAACTCCTACGCCAGGGAGCAAAAGTAGGCCTCCTGGAGGTAAGCATGGAAGAGAAGATGACTACTTAAAGCCCTCATTCTCAATTCACACAGAATATTTACAAGGAGGGTATAGAAAGTGCTTTCTTCCCTTTGAAATCGAGAGAGAATTCTGAGGTGCCTTCTGTAACAGCTTGAATTATTGTTCAGCAAATATTCCTTCTCTCCCCACCCACTATGAATACACTGTACTTCTTCAACCTTGATGTTGGGCTTCACCACGTGACTTGCTTTGAACAATGGCATGTTGGAAGACATAATACAAGCAAGGCCTTAAATGCACCTATATAATTGGGCTTGGATTTTTCATCCCCAAATTCATCCATGAAAAGGCCATGCTGCAAAAGTCATTGCTCCTTCAGCCTGGGACACATAAAGAGATACATGAAGCCAACCAACAACTTGGAGACAAGTCCAGCCAACATGCAGCTGGAAGAAGAGTCACCCAGCCTTAACCAGTCAAACCACAATGAACTTAACCTGTGAACAGGAGAACAGATGCTTTTTGTTATAAGCCACTGAGTCTGGGGTTGTACAGTATTATTGGGGCAGCAGCTGGTTAATATATCTTACATAGTCTGAAGGGGAATGTTGGGTTGAATGTGTTGAAAAGTAATAACCCAGATAAATTCATTGTCTGAGTCTCAAACACCTGGTTTTATAGCTTACATGATTCGTGGCCCTCTAAGTTA